TTCTCTTAAGTACCATAGATCGATGTCTAAGGTGATCCATCCATGTGCGGCTGTATATGGCTTTGTCATCTAAATACACACATGCAAAGTTCTGAAATCTCTCCAAGAGCCTGTTGACCATCCGCTGAAAGGTAGCATAGAAACATAGAAACATAGAAACATAGAATGTGATGGCAGATAAGAACCATTCGGTCCATCTAGTCTGACCAATTTTCTAAATACTTTCATTAGTCCCTGGCCTTATCTTATAGTTAGGATAGCCTTATGCCTATCCCACGCATGCTTAAACTCCTTTACTGTGTTAACCTCTACCACTTCAGCTGGAAGGCTATTCCATTCATCCACTACCCTCTCAGTAAAGTAATACTTCCTGATATTATTTTTAAACCTTTGTCCCTCTAATTTAAGACTATGTCCTCTTGTTGTGGTAGTTTTTCCTCTTTTAAATATAGTCTCCTCCTTTACTGTGTTGATTCCCTTTATATATTTAAATATTTCTATCATATCCCCCCTGTCTCGTCTTTCCTCCAAGCTATACATGTTAAGATCCTTTAACCTTTCCTGGTAAGTTTTATCCCGCAATCCATGAACCAGTTTAGTAGCCCTTCTCTGAACCCTCTCTAAGGTATCAATATCCTTCTGAAGATACGGTCTCCAGTACTGTGTACAATACTCCAAGTGAGGTCTCACCAGTGTTCTGTACAATGGCATGAGCACTTCCCTCTTTCTACTGCTAATACCTCTCCTATACAACCAAGCATTCTGCTAGCATTTCCTGCTGCTCTATTACATTGTCTGCCTACCTTTAAGTCATCAGAAATAATCACCCCTAAATCCCTTTCCTCAGATGTTGAGGTTAGGACTCTATCAAATATTCTGTACTCTGCCCTTGGGTTTTTACGTCCAAGATGCATTATCTTGCACTTATCCACATTAAATGTCAGTTGCCACAATTCTGACCATTTTTCTAGTTTACCTAAATCATTTGTCATTTGGCTTATCCCTCCTGGAACATCAACCCTGTTACATATCTTAGTATCATCAGCAAAAAGACATACCTTACCATCAAGACCTTCTGCAATATCACTAATAAAAATATTAAAGAGAATGGGTCCAAGTACAGATCCCTGAGGTACCCACTGGTGACAAGTCCAAGCTTTGAATATATTCCATTAACTACAACCCTCTGTTGCCTGTCACTCAGCCACTGTCTTACCCATTCAACAATATTGGAATCCAAACTTAAAGATTGCAGTTTATTGATAAACCTTCTATGTGCAACAGTGTCAAAAGCCTTACTGAAATCTAGGTAAGCAATGTCTACTGCACCACCCTGATCTATAATTTTAGTTATCCAATCAAAAAAAATCAATAAGATTAGTTTGGCATGATCTCCCTGTAGTAAACCCATGTTGTCTCTGATCTTGAAATCCATGTGTTTTAGATGTTCATCAATCCTATCCTTTAACATGGTTTCCATCACTTTCCCCACTACTGAAGTGAGGCTTACTGGCCTATAGTTGCCCGACTCCTCCCTATTACCTTTCTTGTAAATGGGCACAACATTCGCTAACTTCCAATCTTCTGGGACTACTCCTGTTAACAATGATTGGTTAAATAAATCTGTTAATGGTTTTGCTAGTACACCACTAAGCTCTTTTAATAGCTTTTGGGTGTATTCCATCAGGTCCCATTGACTTATTTGTCTTTACTTTTGACAGTTGAAATAGAACCTCTTCCTCTGTAAACTCACGTGTAATAAATGACTCATTTATCCTTTTTCTCAACTGGGGTCCCTTTCCTTCATTTTCATCTGTAAATACAGAACAAAAATATTCATTGAGGCAGTCAGCTAGACCTTTATCCTCTTCTACATACCTTCCTTCTTTTGTTTTTAATCTAACTAATCCTTGCTTTACTTTTCTTTTCTCATTTATGTATCTAAAAAATGTTTTATCCCCCTTTTTTACCGACTGTGCAATTTTCTCTTCTG